ACTGTGGGGAGTTGACTTGAATATCCCACATGGCTGGAGCCACTCAATGGCGGACTGCGGTCTGGAGACTGGCCCGCTGGACTGTGCATGATCCCCTTGGCTTTCTGGTCCTTCTTGTACTTCATTCTTCGGTTCTGGAACCAGATCTTGATCTGGCGCTCGGTTAGGTTCAGCAGGTTGGCCATCTCCACCCGGCGTGGGCGACACAAGTAGCGGTTGAAGTGGAATTCCTTCTCCAGTTCCACCAGTTGGGCGCTGGTGTACGCGGTCCGCACTCTCTTGGATGAGGGGCCCGTGGGGCTCTTCTCCTCGCAGTTGTCTCCTGAAGTGGAAAGGAAGCCACAGTGTTACTTCTTGAAATTACAAAATAGAAAAATAAAACACAGAAATTTGGTGCTCAAGGTTCCATACGCATTTAGCTGCTGGCTTTCAGCTGTGGGTCCCCTGAACTATGTGTACATTGTGTAAGAAAGAGGTTAATGGTTAACCCTATGAAATCATCTATCATGGACCATCTTCAACCATCTCCCGACTAGAAATACCAACTCAGCCTTTACAGAAATGAGGATGGGCTGTATAATGTTGCGATTATGGATCAGGTGGACCAGGAAAGTTCTCAGCTGTAAAAAGTTCCAGCTTATGATAACTATAACTAAGACTGAATGATTTTGGAACACAAACAAAACAAACAGCATGTGTGAGACTTACACCTCTGCTTATTATTTGCGAGTTATTTATGTTCATATTAATGTGGGTAATACAGATATATTTAAAGTCAAATTATGACGAATAATGGGTTATATAGCCTTGGTTGTGACAACAAGTCACCAATATTTACAACACACAACATAGAACAGTGGTTAACAACTTTTTTATCCCAGCCAAGACAACCTTTAAAAGCTATGCACAATCCGAGGGTACCCCGTTCCTAAATGTAAAAAAAAACAACTAAACGAATTGTTTTAAATATCGCAATAGCATTAACACATGTGAGGCACCCAACATTAGAGGTGATTTGTTCCTCCACTTTTGGGGGGCTGCAATAGGATACCAGTGGCTGACCTTTATAGTTCCCAAGTGTGTGCTACTGCACAATAAACACCTGGGGCTTTGTGTAATAAAAAGGCAGGCTTGATCCTGACTTGTTGACAACTTTTGGGCAACGTGGGGCAATTGTTAGACATTTTGTCAATGAACCCCTGAAGAAGCCTGAATGAATGAACCCTAAGCACTCTGGTTGAAAAAGGCTGATGTAGAATTAGTATTCCATCTTAAAGTATTTTTGATTTATTTTTTTCCTGCCCTCTCATCATCCTTTCCATATATTTTACACACATCTCTTAGGCTCCCCCCACACACACACACACACACACACACACACACACACACACACACACACTTTGTAGCCTAGGCCTGAAGAAGATTTGAGCACATTGTAGAAATCCAGAAGTCTAAACCATTCTCTTTGATATCAAATGGATTTCATCATTGCCCCATCATACACCTTTCTACATCTCATATATTCTGTCATTTTTTTAGACTGAAAAGAAGACCAATTGATGTCTCAAAAGTGAGACTAGTGGTTAAGTGTCTGGTCAATAACTAAATATCTACCCTAATGACTGTGTTGAGCCCCCCATGTGATATATACATTCTATACTTCTCATGAAATGAACTTTGATCCATGTATCCATAAGGTCTATACATTTTGTTTACAAGCTTTCAATCAAACACAACCCTTAAAAATCCAGTCACCATGCATCTGGTACAATATATAGGCAGGGAACTTTAACATTATCCTTAGCAAACTGTAATGCAGTTGAGCCTTCATGCACACTAGCTTTATAGACATCAGTAATAGTAGGGGATCTGTTATACAGAGGTGTGTGAAACCAACTTGTGTTGATCACAATCCGTCACAACAAATATCTCAGTCTCCCCTGCGCTGGGCCTAGAGGCTCCCTTCTTGGTCATCTCACAAAACAAACAGGCTATAAAAACTGAGTAATATACCTGGAGGGGTGCTGGAATTTTTCTGCTTTGTATTTTGTCTTGATTCCTTCATCCAAGGGAAGATCTGCTTACTCATGGTAACCTGGGAGGAGTTGGATGCATTGGAGGATTTGCTTTTTTTCTGTGTTGAGGTATTGCCATGGCTGGGTGAGGAGGGGGGTAGGGATGAAGCTTGGTGAGGCTGGTCATTCATATTGGTGGTTTGGCTGGCATTCTGATTAGAAGATGTCCTCATGCAGCTGCCACTAATATCGCTAGTCTTATGGTTTGGGGGCCTGATAGCAGATGGTTGGATTGAACAAGCTGAGCTTGGATAATCATTCTCTAGACTGGACTGGGAGTAAGGCTGGTGACTGGAGCTGTAGCTGTAGGATTCAGGCTTGGCATATGTGTAACCACCAAAAAGTCCAGAGTTCTCATAGTAAGCTGTTTTCTGCATCCTGCTTTCTCTCAGTGATAGGGAACTCACACCCTTATCAATGAGCATTGACCTCTTCTGTCACTTTTTAGTCCACCCCTAAGGATACAAAAGTACATTTATGTTACCAGTGAAATATGTCAAATCAATAAAACAATCTTACAAACTCATGAAAACAGAATGCAATGGGGTGATAAAGAATTGTGTAAAGCATGGAGAATATATCTTATTAGCTCAGCATCCCTAAAAAGAGATTTGCATGCAGTGTGCTGTGCGCACAAACACATGGGGTTTATTTACTAAAACTGGAGAGCGCAAAATTTGGTGCAGCTGTGTATAAAAATCAGTCGGCTTCCGACTGATGTTTTTGTCACAGGTTACTTTAACAAACCAATGTTAGACTGGCTACCATGCACAGCTGCACCAGATTTAAAGGGCTCCAGCTTTAATAAATCTCCCCCATGGGTTCTTGGTGCAGCTTTACATGTATTGGGGCTGAATTAGAGGCTGCTCACTTAGATTAGTAAATAAGGTGACCCTGTGCACTTTGAATAGCCAACTGTGTGCAAGGGAAATTAAATCAGGATGTATGCTTACACATGATTGGTTGCTTGAAGTGAACACAGCTTTCTCTTATTTACTAAGGGGAACATCCATTTTGCCTAGTGAACAGTATCCACTTCTTTAGTAAATCTATCTCATTGTATTACATGCAATTCTCTTAGAGCAACATATTGGAGCAAAAGGGTTTTTTTTTTTTTTTATCACATCCTGTGAACATTTTTTTTACATATATGCAATGCAAATGTATACAAGTTCATGGCAATAGGGAGAGTCTTAGCTCCAGCTGCATTATTATTGATACTTTGAGATAAAATGTATAAATATGCTTGGAGTGCAACAAAGCAATGTTCGGTGCTTGCACTTGGCTATTGAGCATCCCACAGTATTCAGTTTAACATATATTAAACTGCTCACTAGTTCCTGTGTTACCTCCTCCAATGCTTGCCTCTAGGACTTCTCCTGAGCTTCTCCCATCCTATGGAACACCCTACCCCAATCTGTCCGGCTATCTCCTAATCTATCCACCTTTAGACGATCCCTGAAAACCAATCTCTTTAAAGAAGCCTATCCTGCTTCTACCTAGTAAACTGCCTTTATTTCCTCCATCAGCTCATCCCCCCACAGCTATTACCTTTTTGTATCACTCAACCCTTCCTCCTAGATTGTAAGCTCTACCGACCAGGGCCCCCTGTTTCCTCTTGTACCAAATTGTATTGTAACTGTAATGTCTACCTTCATTTTTTAAAGCTCTACGCAAACTGTTGATGCTTTATAAATCCTGTATAATGATAATTATATATATATAGGACTGTACAATGGCATAACCAATCAATGCAGTTAGGCCTTTTCATAGTTTTGCACTGTTATTCTATCCCCATAAAAAGTTTCATTCTCTGTCTGGAAATCCTTCAGTGGCAAACTGGAAGTGTTATGTGTACACACATGCTCTGGCTTAAATGGATTTGCTTGGGGTATTAATATGTTTCCTTCCTTCTTTCAACAGCTATTAAATCCCTTTTCTCAAGGGTGACCAACAACCCATCACTCTTTGGATAAAGATATGTTTTGTAATATTTTTAAAGCACCCACATCTGACATGCCTAAAAATTTGGATAAAGATTAACTTGCCCCTCCACCCTGCAGCCTGTGTGAGCTGTATGTAGCTTGATGGATTGAACTACATTCAGAACTTGAAAAACTTGCAGGCAAAAAAAAGGCTCTATGTCCTTTGTAAGTTGGGCCTTGTAACTCCTCCAGTTAAATTATAACTACTTCTATTCAACATCCTTGTGTTTGATCCATTTGAGGGGAAAAAAAACGCTATGTCAGCTTTTGTGAAATGTAATTATTTGATGCCTTTTATAAGAAATAGCAGCTAAACTGCATGTGTTGTGTATTTTCACTGCAAGGTATAGCGTGCATGTTGTGACAGTAATTGTTTAAATAGTGGCACCGTTGCCAATACCACAAGATTTATTATCTTGTCCATATTAGCATAACGACTGAAGAAAAATGGAAAGCAATTACACAAACAGTATAGTTTAATCAAATAAACTATAAAATATAATGCAAGTTGCACTTTGCATCATTAGTATATTTCATGTAAATGATCAGAAGTGCAATTCAGCTTTTATTTAGTGTCTGTTTCAACCAGCTATTCCCTCCCATGTGGATTAATGACTAAAATCTGCAAATAAATCCACCATTTGTGTATATACTTGAAAATATTAAACCCCTGATCTATATTAAAGTGATTGTTGGCAATGTGGTGTTTAAGGTCATTAGATACAATTTTGTTTACAGTAAGAAGAGGACAATGTAAACAGTGTGGTCTGATGTGCAAAATAAAACAGGGGGATATTATAAACGATGTGGGTGACATCATCTATCCACCGTGGAATAAATGAAGCTGGACTTCAGTAGTGAATGGTATGAATTGATCACTTTGGGAACCTTGAAGACACTATCAGACATAGATTGCTTTCCAGCACATTGTTCACAGCAGCACACACACCACAAACAACCTATAGAGATTCTAGAATGCCTTATACATAGAATTATGTTTAGTAAGAGCCTGCAAGAGCCTTTTCTTTTTTTTTTTTTAGAAAGATCCAACTGTTTCTGAACTCTGCTTGAACCTAAATAAGAAGCAACGTGCAATAAATCACTTGGACAAAGGGCAAACGTATTGAGGTTCATCTCTTACCGGCACAAGAAAAGATATTCCAGAGCTGGTGTGTTAATGAAATACACATTGATAAACATATAAAAGAAATATAACTAAGAAATACAATTTGGAGCAGAAAATAGAAATGAATATTTCACACAGAGAGCTCTTTCAGTTCCCTTTCTCTTGCCTTGGAGCACCATGGGGGGGGGGGGGGACGACAATATAAAAAAACATGTTTTATTTTGGAATTTTAGATCTAGGAGGCTCCATCTCATCCACTACAACAAGTTGCAAAGTTCCACAAAGGCAACATGCTAAATTACTTGTTTTCTGGGGTTTGTGCTCGAAGTTTGTTCCCTGCTCCGAGCACACATTGCATGATCCACGTTAAATAGAAGTTGCATGAGCAAGCAGTGCTTTTGATTATTAAGCAGGCAGTGTCCACACAGAGCATATCAATGCACCTGTCATGGGGCTATGGAGAGAAATTTATGACTGCTGCTCTTAGGGTAGGCTTCAGCGAGGAGGGGGAAACATCCCCAGAACTTTCACAAATGTAAAACAGGCCGAGCGTAGGAGGAAGACCAGAAAAGAATCCCCGACTCCGCAAATTTTTCCCTTTTACAAGCCTGTTGAGCAGAATTATAAAAGGTGGCCTGGCCAGTTTGTTCGGAGAACTTGCCTTTAGCAGGACGCGGACAAACTTCTGCCACCTTCTTATGGATTAAAAAAAAAATAAGGATTTATAAAATGGGAAAATTTGGAAGAAATTCTGTAAAATTCTCTTTGAGGAATCATTCTTTTCTGGCTCTTGGATCACACATCTTGGGAATGTTTACATCATAGATGGAGGATGTTGATACTTTGTCGCTGGGCTATTTGGATTTTTTTTTTCCTTGGAATATCTTTTTTATCAGCAGCTTGCTCTCACACATGTGAATTATGTGAATATATATGAAATCGGTCTGTCTGGAGATTGTATCTGCACATATTTGTAGACTCCGAACCATCCAAGCGCCCTTGATGGTCATTGCACACTGTGTAGATGCAGAAATGGATCTTATTTCTTTATGCCATCATTATTATACTGTGTTTTGGGTGGATGTTTATTATTACAGTGCTGTAAATAATGTTTGTTGGTTTCTAGGTATGTGATTATGCAATCATTTTCCAGCGAAAATGTGTGTCCATTGTTAAATATCAACAGGACCAATTTATAATCCCCCATATCTGATGCAGGAATTGCAGACCCCACCTAGCAGAGCAACGTAGGGCTTGGTGGAACTTGTAGTTCCTTCACAAATATGAGGTGGGTTTGTAGCTCCTCTAGATATCTGAAAAGGTTAGATGAATCACACAGTTCTTCAACAGATAGAAGTAAGGCATTATGCGACTTGTAGTTCTTTACAGATGAATGAGGTGGAAAGATAATTCATCTATAGATGGGAGGGAGTGATGTGACTTCTTTGCAGATATAAAGGGATAATGGGACAATAGTTCCTCTTTAAATAGAGGAGCATGATGTGACTTCCTTATAGATGTAGGGGGATGATGGGACAATAGTTCCTCCATAGATAGGGGGGCATGATGTGACTTATAGATGTAGGGGGATGATGGGACAATAGTTCCTCCATAGATAGGGGGGCATGATGTGACTTATAGATGTAGGGGGATGATGGGACAATAATTCCTCCATATAGGGGGGTATGATGCGACTTACTTATAGATGTAGGGGGATGATGGGACAATAGTTCCTCCATGTAGGGGAGCATGATGCGACTTACATATAGATGAAGGGGGATGATGGGACAATAGTTACTCCATGTAGGGGAGCATGATGCGACTTACATACTTATAGATGAAGGGGGATGATGGGACAATAGTTACTCCATATAGGGGAGCATGATGCGACTTACTTATAGATGAAGGGGGATGATGGGACAATAGTTACTCCATAGATAGGGCGGCATGATGCGACTTATTTATGAGGGGTGAAGGGACAATAGTTCCAGACACTGAAGCATGATGCGACTTACTTATAGATATAATGGGGTAATGGAACAATAATTCCTTCGTAGATAGGGGGGCATGATTCGACTTCCTTATAGATATAAGGGGGGTGATGGGACAATAGTTCCTCCAAAGACGGGGGGGGGGGGGGGGGGCACACGATGTGACTTTCTTATAGATATAAAGGAGTGATGGGACAATTGTTCCTCCATAGACAGGGGGACAGGATGCGATTTACTTATAGATGTAGGGGGATGATGGGACAAAAGTTACTCCATAGATAGGGGGGCATGATGCGACTTACTTATGAGGGGGTGAAGGGACA